GGCCCTCGGGCGCCTCCGGGGCGGCGCAGGGCGGGTCTGGGGGGAGGGGAAAGGGGGAGGGGCCAGCCAATGGGAGGGTGAGTCAACGCGACGGAAGGGAAGTCAAGGCAAGGCCAAGATTTGGCCAAACTCAACGCAACTCAATGCAACTCAACGGAACTCAACCAAGTCAACCCAACTGAGCTTGAGTCCACTCAACGCAACTCAACTAACCCAACTCAACCCAACCAAACCCAACCCAACTCAACCCAACCAAACCCAACTCAATCAAACTCAACCCTCGCAACACAACCCATGCCAACTCAAGTCAACCAAACCCAACCCAACTCAAACCAACTGAACCCATCCCAAATCTATCAACTCAACCCAACCCAACCCAACTCAACCCAACCAAACCCAACTCAACTCAACCGACTGAACTCAACTCAATGCAACTAAACGTAATTTAATTCAATCAACCCAACTCAACCAAACTCAACTCAAGTCAACTCAACTTAACCCAACTCAACTCAACTCAACGTGACTCAACTCAACGCAATTTAATTCAATCAATCCAACTCAACCAAACTCAACATGACTCAACCCAACTCAACCAACTCAACTCAATCCACCCCAACAAACTGAACTCAACCCAATCCAACCCAACTCAAATCAAGTGAACCAACCCAATCCAACCTAAACCAACTCAATTCAACCCAACTAAACCCAACCCAACCCAACAAAACCCAACTCAACCAATTCAACCCAACCCACCCAACCCAATTTAATCCAACTCAACCCAACCTAATCCAACTCAATGGAACTCAACCCAACTCAACCCAAACCGATCCAACCGAATGAAACAAATCGAACTCAACCATCCCAACCCAACTTAACCCAAGTCAACCAAACCCAACCCAACCCAACCCAACCCAACCGCATCCAACAAATTGAACTCAACCATCCCAACCCAACTTAACCCAAGTCAACTCAACCCAACAAACGCAACCCAACCCAACTCAACAAATCCAACTCAACCAACTCAACCCAACTCAACTCAACCCAAACAAACTTAACCCAACTCAACCCAACCCAACTCAA